GAAGAGGAGGAGAGAGAAAGAGGGCTAGGATGGGGGGGGGAGAGAGAGGGGGCCGGGGGGGGTTTGGAATGTCCGACTCCCGGGTGGAGACACTGCCCTTTGCAGGAGTCACGTGTCCCCAACGACCGGCAGTCGGTAATGAGGTTTGGTTGGTTGAGGAAGTCGGCCTCCGGTTCCTGAAGCAGGGCAGAAATAAATAAAGGTTAGGGACGTCTCGGGCAGTTATCGCCGCGTTGAATCCCTTCGTCTGCCGGAACGATCTCCCATCGGTTATAATAACCGGCGGCAATCGATAGTCAAAGTTGGGCTCCGGAAAGCGATAGAGCGCCCGCCCATGCCCTCCGCTTGTTGTGCAGCACTCGCGGCGCGCGCGCGCCGCGGTGTTGACCAACGACCGTGCCACTGGAGGCTCCCACGCCACCCGCGGCGATCCGCATCGAGGCCGCCCGTCGGCGCAGCAAAGGCACTGCGCACTTCTGGGCAGCGCCCAGAATGCAGGGAAGGCCTTGGCGCTTCTCGCCAGCCAGGCTGACTCGGCAACCGGCACGCGAGCCGACTGCGCGTCCCGAGCCCACGGATCGGCGCCGTCGCACAGGCCCGCCAGCCGCCGCACAGCTCCAGAGAGGCCACTGGCGTTGCGCTGCACTGCTTGAAGCTGATGTTGAGGCGCTGCACTGCTCAAAGCTGCCCCGTGCGCCGCCGCGAGCGCCGCGCCGTGGCCTCGTTCTCTGGCGAGCCCCAGCACGACCCCTCGCGGCCACTCGCGCCGTTGCAGCAGCTCCGACCCCGCCACTCCGGCTCCCGAGCGCGCGACGAGCACGAGGAAGAGCATGCGCATGGGCCAAAATCAGTTACGGCTTGGAGTGATCGAGTAATGTTTTTTAGTTGGCGAAGGCTCCTGCGGCTGGGGCATACACACTCCCGACAGGTGAGAGGGCCCAAGAGGCAGGGGCTACTTCCCAGCTCCCGACGCTGAACTACGACGGTCAGGATGCCCGACCTCGCCCACCTCCGATACATCGTCGAGGACTCGATCGGCAAGCACATGTACGAGAACGCCGTGTTTCTCGCCGACAAGCTCGTCACGATGTCCCGCGGCGCGCCGGACGACGTGTATCTGCTCACGCAGGCCTTCATGTTCACGAGGCAGCACCGGCGGGCGCTGCACGTGCTGCGGCAGCATCGGCTGGCGACGTCGTCGCCGCGCTTCACCTACCTGACCGCCAAGTGCCTCGCTGAGTGCCAAGAGTGGGACGAGTGCCTCGCCACCCTCGACGACACGGTGCTCGAGCACGCGGCGCAGGAGGCGGCGGCGGAGGCGGCGGCGGCGGGCGGCGGCAAGGCGCGGCCGCCGCTGGGCAGCCTGTGCTCGGCGATGCTCCTCCTCAAGGGCACCGTCTACGAGCATCTCGAGAATTGGCCGCTCGCGGCGCGCCACTTCAAGCTGGCGCTGCGCGAGGAG